GATCCTCAGGTTCGCTAGGTGGCGCCAGAGTGCACAGAGCCCTGGGCCTGGAGTCAGGAAGACTCATCTTCCTGAGTTCACATCTGGCCTCAGACACTTGCTAGTTGTGTGACCCTGGACAAGTCACTTAACTCTGCCTCAGTTTCCTCATGTGTAAAATTAACTGGAGAAGGAAAGGTGAACCACTCTAGTATCTCTGTCAAGAAAACCCCAAAATGGGGTCATCAAGAGTTGGAGATGACTGAAAAATGACTAAAAAACAAGTATAATATGAACTTCCTGAGGGCAGATAATGTTTCATTTTTGTCTTTGTGCCTTCAGTGCCTAGCATAGTTTTTTGCACAACTTAATCAATTGAGTGTCTTTGACATCTGTCTTTGGCTCTGTGTTGCTTAATGTAGGATCCTAAGTCTTTCACTAGGAGCAACCTAGTCCAACATTCTGATTTACAGATGAGGAAACCAAAGCCTATAGAGCTTAAGTGATTTTCCCAAAGTGGGAGGCAGAATTTGAACTCGTGTTTTCTGCCTCCAGGGCCAGTGTTCTTTCCATCCTTCCACACTGTTTCCTTAATATCTTCATCAATGATTTGGACAATGCATGGATAACATGCACATAAAATTGGAAGATGATACAGTCAGTCAACAAACATTTTTAAGCATTTACTCTGTTGTAAGAACTATACTAAGTGCTAGGGATACACAGAAAGGGGAAAAGAACCCCACCATTTTGCTCTGAAGGAGCTCACAGTCTAATAAGGGAGACCACATGCAAATAACTATATGTACATACTAGGTATGTACATTACAAATAAAAGGTGATCTCAGAGGGAAAATAGTAGCAGAAAGGAGGTTTGGAAAAAAAAAAACATCCTGTGGAAGATGGGATTTAAAGTAAGGCTTAAAGGAAGCCAGGGAAGCCAAGAGATGGAAAGGAGGGAGGAGAGAATTACAAGCATGGGGGCAGTCAGTGAAAAGACAAGGCATCAGGAGAAAGAGTGTTATGTGATAGGAACAGCAAGATGGCCAGTACCATTAAATCATCGAGCCTGTGCAGAGGAACAAAGGGGAAGAAGACAGTTAAGGGGTATAGATGACATGTCAGGTGACAGAATCAGGGTCTCAAAGACCTGTATGGAAAAGAGCCATTGTTGTGCTCTATCTAATGACAGGAGATTTAATAAAGATGTGCATAAAACTATATCTCAATTAAATTAATAAACACAATACATGGAGCTGTGGCTAGATAACAGTTTACTGAAAAAGAGCTAGGTGTGCTAGTGAATAAATGAATGGATTAAAAAAAATTAGATGGTTACCATGTCCAAAAGCATAGTGACTAGCAATGAATCCATGATATAATACGACCACTAGAAAGATGAGGTGGCAAAGTTCTCAGGGCCGTTGTTCACAGTCATTGACTGTACCTGTAGCTCAGTGGCCCTGACTTCCATGATGAGGCACAGATTTTTTTTCTTTTAAATACAGTCATATGATACAGCTGCATCCCCATGTAGACTCAGCTCCATTCGATTACTTTTCTCATGGGTGCCATTAAATATTGATGATGACATCCATGTGGAATGTGTTAAATTCCTTTGTGAAACCACAAGAATAAGTAACTAGTTCAATTCAGACCCGACTGCATAGTCTTCCAAATTCAATTTCCAATCATGCCGTAATTTAAACAGAATGAAGAATAATGGTAACATTTGTTCAATGGATTTCGAGTGGTACATTTTTTGTCCTATTCCTTTTATTGCCCATTGAAATGATTTTTTCTATCAATTCTTCCACCTCTTAAGGGTAATCAGTTAATGTTATCCTTTAGTGCTCTCGTAACAGAATTCTTGAACACCAGCTGTGAGTTTGGAAGGATTAATCAAACAACCTTCATGATAAATGTGTTTGCCCTTGCCCTTCCACAGAGCAAGGCTCTTAACAGTTCCCAGGAAGCTCATTCTAAGTACAACATCCAGTAACTAACCATCAGGCATTTTTTTAAGGTAAGTACATTGATGTTACACCTGAAACTCCTTTGGTGTAACATATGGGTGTGATAGGACCTCATATGATGATTCAGCAGGATTGATAAAGGTTGGAATTCCTGTGGGTACAGGGGACACTATTGTAATTTCAACAATTAAGGGATGACTTTTTCATCTTAATGGATTTCACTATGTAAATTAGATAGCAAATTTGGATTCAAAGCTATTGAATGAAGACCTTTCACCAAATCGTACAGTATGAAAGTACAGACATGTTCAGCTGTCAACCTGAACTTCAGGGGTAAGTAAAAATGCTTCCCCTAGAAGGGGATGATTTGCTGATGCCTAGAAACAGAAAGTGGTAAATAGAGTCCTGGACTTGGAGTCATAAGGGGTTCAAATCTTACCTCAGAAACTTACTAGTTTTGTGATTAGCCTTAACCTGTCCTCTTTTCAGTTTGTCAGCTATGAGACAATAGAGTTGGACTCCATGGCATCTAAGATCTTTTCTAATTATAATCTGATTTCCAGTGTCTTGTCTTATTTTTTTCTTCATTTTTTTTTAACATTTCTGTTTAAAGTTTTTAGTTCCAAATTCTATCCCTCTCTCACTCCACTCCCCTCTTTCTGAGATGGTAAGCAATCAGATATAGGTTATACATGTACAATCGTGTAAAACATTTCCATATTAGTCATTTTGTATACAAAGACTCAAATGAAAGGGGAAAAATGAAAGAAAATGAAAAATAGCATGCTTCAGTCTGTATCCAACATTTATTAATTTTTTTCTCTGGAGGCAGATAGTATGCTTCATCATTAGTCGTTTGGGATTATCTTGCATCATTGTATTGCTGAGACTAGCTAAGTCATTCACAGCTCTTCATTGAACAATATTGCTATTACTGTGTACAATATTCTCCTGATTCTGTTCACTTCACTATGCATCTATTCATGTAAGTCTTTCAGGGTTTCTGAAATCATCCTGCTTGTCACTTCTTATAGCACAATAATATTCCATTACAATCACATAGCACAGCTTGTTTAGCCATTCCCCAATTGATTTCCAATTCTTAGCCACCACAAAAAGAGCTGCTATAAATATTTTTGTGCAATAGGTCCCTGCCCCCATTTTTTGGATTTCTTTGGTATATAGACCTAGCAGTGGCATTACTGGATCCAAGGGTATGCATGCTTTTATAGCCCTTTGGGCATAGTTCCAAATTGCTCTGCAGAATGGTTGGATCAGTTTCAGAACTCTACCAACAATGTATTAGTGTCTCAGTTTTCCCACATCCCCTCCAACATCCAACATTTTCCTTTTTTTGTCATGTTAGACATTCTGATAGGTGTGAATGTGGTACCTCAGAGTTGTTTTAATTCGCATTTCTCTAATCAATAGTGATTTAGAGCATTTTTTCATGTGACTATAGATAGCTTTGATTTCTTTGTTTGAAAACTGCCTCTTCATATCCTTTGGCCATTTATCAATTGGGGAACAGTGTCTTCTCTTATAATGAGCGCTATAGTCATACAAATTATATTTGTTGGGGTTAATATCATGTATTTTCTATTTACTTATGTTGTTTTTCCCCAAAGAGTGTAAGTTCCTTGAAAGTGGGGATTATTTCCATTGTGTCTTCTATCTCCAGTGCCTGGCAAAGGGCATGGCATACAGTAGGAACTTAATAAATACTCATGGCTTGATTTTCAGATTATAATACAAGCAAGAAAAGCATGTTATATGCTTGAAAAACATTGTTTGCAATTCTAATTTGTACTTGGATGCAAAATGGGTCCCTAACGTGGTTGATATTGAATGAATTATAAGCATTTATATAATTTTTAGCTATTTGCATAATAGCAAGCAGATGTTTTGTTCAAAAACCTCACCCAAAAAACTGTTTCTCAGTATATCAAAACAGACTTGTTCACCGAAAATCTTACATGTGAAACTTCTCCTCTGGCCAATTTGGTTTTCTCATTAAGACCGTAGCATCGACAACTATATGTATCGATTTATTTTTTAATAAAATATTTGTTTGGTGCTTTAGAATATTTTTTCAGTGTCCTAACAAAATTTCTTTCAACATGTGTTTGAGATTTCTCTTCTCCCCATGAGGTATTGATCACCAAAACAAAGAGGTTTTTAAATGAGTGTGTAAAGAATATTCTGGATAATTCATGGATGTACCTATATTAGGTTTTTTTTTTTTAAGAATTTGACTTCTAATATTGCAACTGCCTGTACATGTAAAGCTGTATAACTGCAGCTATGTAATGTCAGCAGTAGCTAGAATCCACTCAGATTCTGTCCATTTGAGAGCATTTTTCTCCTCAGGCCTTTGATGTTAAAGTTCTAGAAAACCATATCACAAATGTGGTGAAGGCTGAGAAGGTACCATTCTGAGTGGACAGAACTACTGACAACATTCCAGAATTATGGCCTCCCCTTGGGAAATGTCACATTTAAAAATTACCAGTAAATTTACTAGTAATCTCTAACATGTACTCAGTCACCAGGCACCTCTCTAAGAATATAAGTTACAGATGAATGGCTGATAAGTAGAAGGATTTTCCCTACACTCATGAAGTCATAAGTTGAGACTTCCACTCTAATCCAATCCAATAAACATTTAGTAAGCACTTATTGCGTCCAGACACTGTGTTCAGGCTGCGGATCCAATTAATTAAAAAAAAAAAAGAAAGACAGTCCTTGCCCTCAAGGAGCTCACAGTCTAAAGGGGGAAACAACACCCAAAAGGAAACAGGAAAATGGAGGATGAGTATCTGGAGCAGGGGCTTCTTGCTGGGAGTTGAAAACAAGCAGAGCAGCAGATGCAAGAAATATTTTAAAAATAGTGACAAGGAAAACAATATTAAAACCATCAGTCTTGCTCTTCCTAAATGTAAAAATGCTTAGTGAGAAAACCCCAAATTACAGGGACTCTGTTTACTCCACATCACTGACTTGTGAATTGCAAATGGAAGGTTTTTCTTGAGACTTACAGGCAGTGACTTTTTGGTATTTTCTTGTTCCTTCAATTTTGCTTCTACCCATACACAGGCATGACTATGACTCAGACCTGGTTTTGGAGATTCCTGCTGACCCTTTGTGGACCATTCCTCACATGGATTCACAGCTCAAGTTTCTTGGTTGACAACAATGCTAGGTTTGCTCTGGACCTTTATCAAACCATCCGTTCATCTTATGAGGACAATGTTATATTTTCCCCACTTGGTGCAAGATTGGTTTTGGGAATGGTACAGATGGGGGCCAAAGGAAAAGCCCAGCACCAGATAAGAAAAGCTCTGAGACTTCCAGAAGACTCAACTGGTGAGATTTCTTTAGCAAGAATCATGTTCAATTTCTTCTGTCAGATCTGCCAAGTCGAGTATCAGGCAGGTTCTAGGGCTCTCCAGAGGGGTCCCTCTAGGGAGACAGTGTGCCACAGAGGAATGAGCCTTGGCTTGTAGACAAAGGACCTGGGTTTGTATCTTGATTGACATTTGGAGCCTGTTTGACCTTGGGCAGATCACTTCAGGCTTCAGTTTCTTAATTTTTAAAGGAAGGGGTTTATCACTGTGTCGTCCAAAGTCTCTGAGAAAAAGATTTTTTTTCTTCAAAAGAGAAATCCAGTTTTCAGATACTATGATCGTATGACCAGAAATGGCAAAGATACAATGATAGAAATTTGCTCGTGACCTTTATCAAATCAGCCATTTATCTCATGAGGAAAACATTATGTTTCCCCACTTGGTGCAAAATTGATTTGAGGAATGGTACAGTTGGGAGGGGTGAAAGGAAAAATCCAAAGGAAGAGAGGGAAGGACACACAGAGCCAGAGAGATGATGGGATATGGAGCTTGAAGAGCCTCACTTTACAAATAAAGAAACTGAGGTCCTCAGAGGTTTTGAAAAAGTCAGTCCAATGTTCCTACAGATAAGGCAGTGTCAGAGCCACGATTCAAACCCAAGTCCTTCTATTCCACATTCACTGCATTTTTCCTGTCCTTGCTGGTGCAGAGAAGCCCTGTTTCCTAGAAAATCAAATAAGTAGGCTCTCATTTCTTAGAATGTGACTCATGCAATAACATTCCATTAAAGTCTTTATTAAATACAGGTCATTTATCTGCAAATTAAATTAAGTCTACAAAGCTGATTATGAAGACACACATATATATACACACACAACTTCTGCTAGATGGTGACATTTTCCTACTAACTTCCAAGAATTGTGATTTATCAAAGGGCTGCTGTCACACATTCTTAAGGCCTAAGTACATGACATAAATCCATTTGCTCAGACAAATGATTATGAATCGCATTTTTTTTTTCACTTTAAGAAAAGCTACTGAATTGCAAAATGTCAGGAAATCAGCTTCAAACTCTGCCAAATGCCTTTGGAGTCTTAATTAATTCTTCGGAACTATTCTGCCACCCCCCAACCCCCCCAGAATTCTTAAGGCTGATCACTAGAGTTTCAAAGAGCTAGAGTGAAGTCTTCCAGCTCCTGTGTTAGTCTGGTCACGCCAATCCTTTAAATAGCCCAGAAGCAATTCCTGAAACCAGCAGAGTGAAACAAAAGATGCCAATTAACTTCCTAATGGAAGGAAGGTTTGAGCAGGAACTGCTGTAATTCACTAGGAAAGGGGAACAATTTTTTCCCCTGAGGTAGGAAAGTGGAATCAGAACTGGAAGGGGTTTGTTTTTTCTCATCTGTAAAATGGGTCTAAGAGTATTTGCCCTATGTACTTTGAGAGTTTATTACTCAGCATGAAATGAAGTGAAATCTAAAAAATGTTTTGCTTTTCTAAAAAGTTATATCAATGAAAGCTACTTGTAGCAATGGTGCTCTAATCAGGAATCTTGATTTTACACTCTAGAGAGGAGTGATAATGTCAAACAGCAGGTGGTAGAGTTGGAATAGTTGGCCAGCAACAACGGAGTCTACTGCAAAAGAAAGCTGGTCAAGAAGACTGGAGTTCAGGCACTGATTTAGCTGTGTGACCCTGAGCAAGTCACTAGATCTTTCTCTGTATCAATATCCTTTTCTATAAAATGGGGGTAATATCAGCTCTATCACAGAGTTGTTGTGAGGATCAAATGAGATAATATATTCAAAGGACTTTACATCCTTACATTCCTCTAAGTGCAATATAAATGCTGGTTGTCACTATTTAGGCTTTAATTATCCTCATTCGGTGTGCACCTGATTACTGTGGGTTATACTTCAAGGTTCTCTTCTGAGTCCTCTTCTCTTCCCTCTCCATATTATCTCTCTCAGTGATCTCATAGGTCCTGTATATTCAATTCTTATCTCTATGCAGGTGATTCTCTATATATCCAGCCCTAACCTCTCTCCTGACCTCCAGTCTAGAATCTCCAGTTGCCTATTAGCCGTTTTGAACTAGATATCCTATAGGCAACCGGAGATTCTAGATGTATTGCTTTTACCTTTGCAACATCTCTTCTACACACCCTCTTCCCTCCTCTCACACAGCTACCATCTTGTACAAGCCCTCATTATCTCATGCTAAGACTATTCCAACAGCTTACTGGTTAGCCTACCTCAAGTCTCTCTTCATTCTCCTTCCTCCTTCACTCAGCTGTTAAAGCGAGCTTTGTAAAGCACCTATCATCAGTCTCCAATTAAATAAACTCCAGTGGCTCCCTGTTGCATCTAGGATCAAATGTAAAACCTGGCTCCTTTCTACCTTCCCAATCTACTTACACCTTACTTCTCACCATGTTCTTTGTTATTGTTGTTCAGTCCTTTTCAGTCATTTCCTACTATTTGTGACCCTACTTGGGGTTTACTTGGCAGAGATACTGGAATGATTTGCTGTTTCCTTCTTTGGATCATTTTACAGATGAGAAAACTGAGGCAAATAGAGTTAAGCTATGTCTCACATAGCTAGTACATGTCTGAAGCCAGATTTGAACTCATGAAGATAAGTCTTCCTGTCTCCCGGGCTGGCATTCTATCCGCTGCACCACCTAGCTACCCTCATGTACTCTACAATCTAGTTAAAATAGCTTCTTCATCATTCCTCACACAAGATCTTTCATCTCTCAAACCTGTTCATTTTCAATAGCTGTCCACCAGCTTGGAATTCTTTCTCATCTCATCTATACCTCCTGGCTTCCCTAGCTTCCTTCAAGTTTCAGCTGAAATCCCACCTTCTGTAAAGGAATCTTTTCTAGTCCTCCCCAATTCCCCCCCCCAAAAGCCCCTTAACTTGTTAGTGTCTTCCTTCTGAGATTACAACCCTGTCCAGTGGACTTTCAACTCTACCCTACTGACTTTCTTTGAGATTGTTTTATTGTCTGTTAAATGGGGTATAGCAGCATTAGTGCTATCTTCTTCTCAAGGTTTGTTATAAGGAAAGCATGTTACAATTGGTTAAATAAATATTCAGTATTCTTAGCCTCCAGGTCACTTGATTCTCAGGACAGTTCCTTCAGCTGATCTGGATATGACATGGACTAATGGTTCTTCACCATCATGGATGCCCTCTTCTGGATGCTCTCTATCTTAACAATGTCCTTCCTAGAATGAGCAAAATACTTCTGAGGTTGCCTACAGGTTAAAGTTCATCTCTAGACTGTCTCTAGTCCTGGAAGCCATGCCTCTCTTAATGAAGCTCCAGATTGCATTAACTTTCAATCCTGCCAAATTTATAGCATTGACCCATGTTGAGTTTCCAAGTCTATTTCAATTCTCAGAACTTTATTCAGTCTAACTGCTCTTTAACTATACTTGATTTATCTTGTATAGTTTTTGAACCTAGATATAACAGTTTACATTTATTTCTAGTAAATGTCTAGTATTGGGATTAATAGTCCAACCTGTCAAGGTATTTCTTTTTGGATCCTGATTCTATAATCTAGTGTCAGCTATTCCACTGAACTTTGTATCATCCAGAAATTGGATAAGCATGTCATCTTTGCTCTTATCCAAGTGAATGATAAAAATGTTAAAGAGCATAAAGCCAAATGCAGAACCCTGTGGCATGCCACTAGAGACCTTTTCCAAGTTCCATATATACCTATGACCAAACTTTTACCACACCATTCCAACATTAACTTTTGAATACATGAATTAACTATGATCACACACAAATCAGACCACAAAGATTTTCCTGAAGAATGAGTTTGGAATCATTTAGGAATTGTGCTTTTGTGTATATTCAAAGTCCATAGATCTATTAAAGGGATGATCTAGGCAATTTTTTATAAAGAAGATTAGAGGTGCCTTGCTGTATTTCTCAGAGAATTAGCAAGGGCAGTGACTCAGAAAAAACAACAGCAGCAAGAAGTTTCTCTCAAAGTCTCAAAAGTCAGGCATAAAAACCCATCCCTTTGGAATCACTTTTGTAAAATAAGTTTTGCCAATGTATTTTGTGGTTATGCCACACTAATTTATGGATTTAGCCTTCTTTTCCTCTCATCCCAAATAAGCCCTTCATGTTCATATAGAAAAAGAATTAAGCAAAACAAATGACAGATTGAGTATTTGGCAACAGCATATGCACCATTCTTGAGCTGGAGCTCCCCCACTCATCTCTCCACCAATGTTAAAGTATCTCTTCCTTATATCTTCTTTGGGTGCCAGATCAGTTTTCACAATTATTCAGTATCTGGCTTTGTTTTAATATGACATAATTGCAGTCTTTATGTATATAATTCCCCTGGTTCTTTGCTACACAATATTTCATATAAATGCCTCCAAGTTGTCTGAATTACTCATTAGTTGTCAATGTTTACTTTGCAATGTTCCATCATGTTCATATAACTCAATATTCTCAGCCATTCCACAATTAATGGGCACTCTCTTTATGACTTTGTATTCATTAGTCTAACACTTTGGGGATGATCATAACTTCATGTTATGTGTGAATTGTGACCTAAAGACTAATTCTTAATCTCATTGGGAGCAAAACTGGCTTGTGAATACAATGCTTTCCTTTAGACTGCTATAAATAATAACTGACACATTGCAATGTAAAACTTCTGAAGTGCTTCGCAAAGTAGATGCTCTTCCTCTTCCAGAGATAAGGAATTGGAGGCACCATGTTAATGTACATGGCTCACGTGTCAGAGGTAGAATTTTAATCGAAGTCCTCCTGACTCCAGGTGCAGTGCTCCATTCTCCCTGCCATATTCCTTTGATACATCCTGGGCTTTTTTTGGTAAAGTTTGAAACCACGCTCACTTTCTTCTCCCTCAACATAAATTGTTTTCTGCAAAAACTCATTTTCTGCAGCAAGGAAACATTTAAAATATTTATGGTAACTTAAAATGCAGTGTTAGTTATACCTAAGGGTCTAAAGAATTATGACATCTATCCGAGTGCTTAGATAGCTGGGCTGAAAAGCTGTTGTTTTTATGTTGTTCAAGATGTCAGTATATGTTATAATTATTTTTCAGGGGAAGAATTTTCGGCTCTGAAGTCATTTCTCTCTGCCATACCCCCCCAAAAGCAAGAATTTACATTTAATCTTGCCAACGCCCTCTACCTTCAGGAAGGATTCCTGGTGAAAGAACAGTATCTCCATAGCAACGAGGCATTTTTTCAGAGCGCTGTAAAACTGGTGGATTTCCAAGATGCAAAGTCCTGCGCAGAGGCAATCAGTACCTGGGTGGAAAACAAAACAGATGGTAAAGCTGTCCATTTTCCCAGAATCCTTATTTGCTATTCATATTTGTGGTTCTCTGTGCCCTCAAGCTGGGAATGACTGGCTGTTTTCTTACTAATACCCAGAGCAGAAACATAGGCACAAAGGAATTAAGAAGTGAGAAACTCTACTTCCTTTCCCTCTTATTGTTCCTGGGTCCTAAAACGGAAGAATTGAGAGCAGCTTTAGAAGAATAATGATCTTGGGTTGAATGACATCGATTTTTTATGGTTCACCAGAAAATGGTGAACAGCAATTTTTGCACCAGCCCCAGTTTTTTGGAGTCACTCTTTTTTTGTCAAAGGGAAGGCAGCTGATGATGTACTCACTTCTTTAGTAACAAATGCTTTATTTCCCACATTTACTGTAAATCATTAATACCCCTTGGTTAAATGTGTTAATGCTTAGCAAAATATCCTGATAACCCCCCTGGCAACATGCCACTCAAGAAACTTAATCTTTCCACAAAGTAAATGAAAGAAGACATGGTTTGGGGCTTCCCAAATCACTGAAGGATGAGTCTTTTATCTTTTTGTCACATCCTTCACATGAAGCCTTACCTTAGTTCAAATTTCTACAGTAATTTAATGTTTGCAAAGCATTTTGCACACACTATTTCAACCCTATCGGGTAGTTATTGTTATCCTCATTGTATGGATGAAGAGGGATGTTAAGTGACTTGGCCAGAGTTATACAGCTAGGATCTGACATCTTAGGTCTTCCTAAACTTAAGTCTAATTCTTTATCCGCCATAACATGGTAACTCTCCAAATGGACAATCAACTCAAAAAGTAGACACAAAGGGACTCACTATGTTTGTTTTGGGGTAAAATTCCAAGCCATAGAAGAGCAGGAGCATCTTAACACCCTACCTGTAGAGTCAAAAGGCATTCATTGTGCTTTTTGGTAAAGTTCCTTTCTAAATGCACTTCTCCTAAATTGTTTCTCCAAAAATGTACCTCAGAAGGAAAAAAAGTGCCATATTTGGAGTCAGAAGAACTAGGCTTTCATTCTTTGTCTGCTGTTCACACTCAGGTTCATTTCAATGAGTCAGCCTTGTCCTTTCTCTCTCTCTCTGTCTCTCTCTCTCTCTGTCTGTCTATTTGTCTCCATCTGTCTCTGTCTGTCTCTGTCTCTCCCCCCCTCCATCTCTCTGTCTCTCTCTCTGTCTCTGTCTCTGTCTCTCTGTCTCTCTCTGTCTCTCTGTCTCTCTCTCTCTCTCTCTCTCTCTCTCTCTCTCTCTCTGTCTCTGTCTCTTTCTCTCGTTCTGCTGCACGTAAGGGCTAGGTTAGCATTAGGTCCTGTCATGGGTCTTCCTGCCATTCTGTTCTGCTCCTACTCGCACGTTTGGGTCACATAATGATAACATCTCTGAGTGGGAAGGGCCCACAGAGACCATTTGTCCTAACCCATAGGAGAACAAGAATTTCCTCTTACATCAGAACTTGTAGTGGGCATCCAAACTTTGCTCTAAGCCTCTGCTAAGTGAGAGTCCATTATTTTCTGGAGCAGCCCATTCTGTTTGGGGATATCTTCATTACTAAGTTTGTTTTTCTGACATCAAGCCTAAATTTGTATCTGAAATCTCCACCCATTATGTCTAGTTCTACCCTATGGGGCCAAGCAGAACAAACCTAATCCTTCATTCACATAAAAAGCCTTCTGGAGAGCAGAGAAGGAGCATTTCAGCAACCTCCAGCCTTACTCTGGCCTTAAACTTTTTGCTAGCATTTCAGACTGGAATGCTATTTCCAACTTCAAATGCCTCATACCCATAGTGAGAGAGATACAACTAGACTGTGGCTCTGCAGTTGATGATTAGGAATTGAGGAATAATTGGCCAATCATACTGTACCATCTACCGAAGAGAAGCCCTTGATTTAAAGACTGACTTATCCTACCCATGATGCATATGACAGACAGCTACACATTTCAGTATTCTAACTCCATTCAGTCAGAAAGATGATTACAAATTTGCACAGAATGAAAGGGGAAAAATTGTTTGGTCTCTCTTTCTCCCTTTCCCCTTCCCTCAAACATAAAAACTTGTTAATGGTTATTTTGTAAGTCCTGATAGCTAGGTAGACAGATATTTCTAGTCTAAGGAACTATCACATTCTTTTCTCTCTTTTAACCCCAAAAGGAAAAATAAAAAACATGTTTTCAACCAAGGACTTTAGCCCTCTAACAAGACTTGTGCTGGTGAATGCCATTTATTTCAAGGGGGACTGGAAACAGAAATTCAGAGAAGAAGAGACACAGCCAATGGATTTTACCATTAAAGACGGCTCTATAACCAAAGTGCCAATGATGAAGATGAAACTGAGGACAAAGTTAGGTAATTTGGAGATTTACTGTGGGAGGCAAGGAAAAAGAAAAAGAGAAAGGGAAACCCTTTGACCTCTCCAGGCTTAGGGGCAGGAGTCAGCCATCTGGGAGTTTCCATACAAGGACTATGGATGAAATCCTAAGTGTGAAAAACAACAGCAATGTATTTTCTTGGTAATATCCATTGTATAACTCCTGGCCTCTCCCCCCCACTCCTCATATATTGTATAGTCCGGGAATACTGGTCTTGTTACTTTCCCTTGCACATGACATTTCATCTCCCACCTCTGTGTCTTTGCATTGATTGTTTCCCATGCCAGACATGCTTTCCCTCTTTTCACCTTAAACTATTGGCATCCCTGGCTTCTTTTAAGACTTAATTCAAATGATACTATCTACAAGAGACCTTTCCAGGGCCCCCTAATTACATGAGCCTTCCCATCTAAGGTTACCTTTCTTGTGTAATTTATCTGTCATGTAGGTATCTATTTATGTATTGTCTCCTCCATTAGTTCCTAAGTTCCCAAGCATTCAGCACCGTGCCTATATCTATCTCTATATATTTATATATGGCACATGGTACACATTTAATAAATGTTTTATTGATTGATTGATCTATCTTCTCCCTCCTTGATTGTAGGTTACTTTACTCATTCACAAATGAACTACCAGGTGGTGGAATTGCCTTATGAAGGGAATGAGTTTAGTCTGATTCTCCTGCTTCCAGCGGAAGGGGTAGCCATTGAGGAAGTAGAAAAAATTGTCTCTGTGGATCAAATCCAAGGTTGGCTTAATGAAATGCAGAAGGAACATGTGGAAATAAGCCTTCCTAGGTTTGTAATGGCATTTTATTATTCTGGTCTCTTTCTTCCTTTTGCCTCATCCCCACCCATTTCATTTCACTTAGAGAGGATTCAGAATAGTAGGCTGAAAAGTGACAAATGTTTGAAGAAGACTGCTGACATCAGCAAAAAAAATCCTTTCTGAGGTGGCATTCTACTCTGTTGGCACAAAGATGAACCTAACCTGACTTGGCATAAATCCATTCTAAGGGAGACTGGATTCAAGAGCTCAGTTTTCTCTGGAAGGGATGAAGAATGTAAGACTAGAGTAATAGGATTAAGTGGAATTATTATAATTGTTTTATGACCGTACCTTAGATTTCTCTAGTTTTTTTCCTCAATAGAGCTTAAAGTATTTCCCTCGCCCCAAAGTAAGGGTATTGATGGCGAATATAAGATGCCATCCTTATCTTTTTTCCCCAAAAAAACAAACCACAGCCTAGAACACTAATTCTGTCACTTACAGCTGTAATAAAGTTAGAGCACTTTACCTACTGTAGGAATGGTGGGGAGGGCATATATAAAAGGAGAAATATGGAGGCTCTCTTCAATAGGAGTCCTTTAAATGAAAATAATATATACCTACCTATCCAATGATTTGAATGAACTTGCGGTTTGTAATTGAGCCCTTTTGTCTGCTTACTTCTTCTTCTTCTTCTTCTTGCTGCTGCTGCTACTGTTTTCATATAAGCTCAAGAGGCAGCACCACATGGTGCCTAGGCTTGGAGTCAGGAAAACCTAGGTTTGAATCCTACTTCTGACATTTACTAGCCATGTAACCTGCAAATCAACTAATCTCTATCTACCTCAAGGAACTTCCTTGGACATATCTGTTAATGGCACCTAAGATCCTATCTAATTTTTAATATATGATGCTATAATACTATAGAAGCCTTATATTCAGAGCTGGTAAAGGGAGTTCCCATCCTGATATGCCTCAGTGCTGACTAAATTCCACATTTATTCACTGTGGATTTATATCCATCCTATAGGATATTCTTGGACTGGTTTATTTCCAATTTATGACAAGTACAAGTTTTTTTTAATGTAAAATAGGATAATAGGGTAGATTCACAGGGACAGAAGAGATTTTAAGAGATAATCTTGTATTGTCCCACATAAAGCATTTCTATAAGAAACTGTTGACTACATTTATGATTTCAGTATTAGAGATATCCTAACCACCCACAGAACCAAGTCTAGCATTTCTATGTATTCTCCTTGTCAAATTTGAATTCTTACTATGTGATCCTAGATTTAGAGCAGGAAGGCCATCTGGCCCACCTCCTCCCCCTGCCCCATCATACAGATGAACAACTGCAGCCCATCAAGGTTAAGTGACTTACCCAAGGTCATACAGCTAACAAGTGGCAAAAGTGGGATTTGAATGCAGGTGCTCCAATTCCAAATCCAGTGCTCTGTCCATTGTACCATGCTGCCTCTCCTCTCTCATTCTAATCAAGACTTAACAAGAAGGCAATTAGAATATCAGTTATATGTTGGCAAATGACTTTCACTGGGAAGAAAAAATTGCAACTTTATATCGAGTTCAAAATATGGTTATTAACTCAACCACTTGAGAAGCAAGATGGCCCAGTAAAAGGCACACTGGATTTGAATTAAGGAAGGTCTGGGTTCAAATCCTGCCTCAGTTACTTATTAACTGTGTAACCCTAGGTAAATCTCTTCACTTCTTATCTTTAAAATGGGGATAATAGGAGCCCCCCCCCGCAAGATTTGTCATAAACACTAAATGAGATAACATATGTAAAGTCTCTATAAACCTTTAAGTGCTGTATAAATATCAGTTATTATAATCATAATTGCAATAGAATATTTGTTTTTCCTTTTAAAATGCTTTTATTGATATCTTTTGTTTTAATATTGCATATGTTTCCAAATATATCCTTTCCTACCCCTGATGGAGAAAGTTAGTCTTTGTACCGAAGGGGTGTGGAAAAAAAAGAGGAAGTGGATCAATCCAGCAAAATCCATGAGTACATAAACCGTGTTTGATACACAGTATATTCAATATTCTACACCCATAGACTCCCACCCCTACAAAGAAGGGAGGGAAATGCATTTTTTCAATTCTTCTCTGGGACCACACTTACTTGATCATTAGGATTGTGCATCATTCAGTTGTTTGTTTGTTTGTTTGTTTGTTTTTTCTGGGAAAGAGCATTTCAAGTACCTTCCCTTGTTTTTACTATAGGTGTACATTCGTAGTTTCAGATCATGAAGATAAGGAACATAATCTAAATGATTTAGAGCAGGAAGAGCCCCAAGAGGCCATTTTGCACAACTATCTATCTCGTTTTATAGATGAGGAAGTGATGGGGAGAAGCAAAGTCACTTGGCCGAAGATCACAAAGGTGATCGGAACCCAGGTCCTTGGACTCCACGTGCAAATCTTTTTGTAATAATTTTGTATTACATTCATCAGGCGATCTCGTCTAGCCCATGCAGATGACGGTCCCAAACTTTTAAAAATAAAACTGAAAAAAATGGCTTCCCTCGCACAGGTAAAATGAAGCAGATTTTGATTATATGGCTGCTGATGAAAGCCAAATCAATAGTTTTGCCGAGATGAACAGTAAGCTTTCCACACAACCAAAAGCTGGGCATGATTTCAACATGGAAGTGTGCCTTCTAACTTCGAAGGAGTTATTTATGCCAGCTTTCTTCTGTTTTCACACAGGGACATCCAGATTTGTAAAAGGCAAGGATAGCCATGTGAAAACGGAACTGTCTTCTCAGCCTAATTCAACTAGATTCAGCTTCAGGTTATAGTCATTCAAATTGCAGCTAATTCTGTGGCAAAGCCATACAGAATTCTTCCTTCATCTAAATATAGGGAAACTAACTGTTTACAGAGAAGCTTGCAGAAGAAATTTCTAAAGAATCATAAAAAAGATTTGTAGATGTGTTTCATTTGAAATCATCACTGTTTCTAGGTAATAACAATGTATTAATGTATTATTTTCCAAAAAATTACTTCAATATTAACTATTTCCGATTTTTTTCATGCCAATTTAGTGAGAATGAGAGTGAAACCCTAGAAGTTTTTAAATTCACATCTCTTATTATTAATGATTTTGTATGGTCATTGATGTTGTCATTTTTCTTTTGAAAACTTTTTGTACTATTTGACTACTTAGCTATTAAGGAATGAATGACTCTCGGACTTCAGCACTTGGATAGTTCCCTATGTATTGTGCGTATCATAGCATTATTAATGTTACTTTCTGAAAAATATTTGTCCACCTTCTACAATTTCTCTTCTTATTCTACATGCATGAATTTTATTCATGCAAAAGACTTTTTTCATAATCCAAATGTTCTATTTTGTCATATATGTGTGTATAGAGACATGTGTGTGTGCATGTGTGTGTGTGTATGAGAGAAAGAAAGAGAAAGGGAGAGAGAGGGAGAGAGAGAAAGTGTATTATGGAGAAAACATTTTTTAAGTGGTTGCTATGTTCCTGGTATTGTGCTAAGTACTAGTCAGAAAACAAGACAGTCTGTACTCTCTGTTGCAATCTAATAGAGGAAGACAAAAAATAAATGGGAGTTAGAAGTGAGGAGAAAAAGAGGACTTGACAGTGAGTGTGGCAGTGAAAAAAACTCAGTGTGATGGTAGAGAAGGAGGCCAGTACTTGAAGCAGGAATAAAGAGTGAGTGGCATGAGTGGTTCTTTGAATGAATAATGTGACAGTTCTATACAGGGACTCACCATCCAATGCATCACTGTCAGGCAAGGAAGAATTGTTTCCCGGGTGCCAGGCAGATAGTGTGGAGGTGGAACAGATGGGAGAGTGAAACAGAAGTAAAGATCTCCTTTGTCACTTTATGACCACCTCTATCCTTTGTTTGTTTAAGAATTCTCCTCTTATCTATATATCTGAAAAGCACTTCCTTCTATTTTCCTCTAATTTATTAATTTTTTGTATGATCTTTTATCTTCAGATCACATTTCTATTTGGAGGTTAATGCAGTATATGGTACAAGATACTGGTCTAAACTTTTTACCAAACTGCTTTCCATCTATCCCACAAGTTCTTGTCAAATAGTCGTTTCCTCATTAATTTTAGTTCTTGCGATCCAACCAATTCTGACTCTTCTTTAGCTAGCCTATTCCACTATTAACCAGTACCTAATGAAGAGTCACAGTGGTGCTGGGGACAGAGGGAACCTCCAAGTTAGGAAGATATAATAAGTTCAAGGCCCACTTTTGACACATGTTGCATCTATGACTCTGACTAGCCTCTTTAACCTCTTCATGACTAAACAACTCTCTAAGAACATTAAAATATCAAGCAGTTATTTATATGCATTGGTAGAGGAAGTTTATTCACTGAGAGTTCCCTATATCAATGAAATCAAATGATAACCACTTTACAATCTAGTTTAAACTATGGTAATGATGGGCCCCTTTTGTTCTTATATTTTTCAGTATTTCCCATGAAATTCTAGACCTAGTATTCTTCCAAAGGAATTTTGTCTACTTCTACGAAGTATACCATTCGCTATTTGATTGACATAGCACTAAAGATATTAATTAATTTTGGTAGTATCATTGGTTTTAGTGTATTGGTAAGATTCAGCCATGATTGCTAAATATCTCTCCAATTTTTAAGTATTTCTGTATAGAATATTATATTTTATATATATGTATCTTATGTATGTCTTGACATGTTTATGTTTATTTTTATGTTATAGCTAACACTTAAGAACACCTATCCCCCCCAAATCTGTCTGTGAACAGCTTACTTTTATAAGTTCAAGTATAAAAGTACAAAATGGAAGATATGGTCACACCGTAAGAGGATATTTTCTAGTGTTTTACTTAAGTCAGGTTTATTTCAAACACTGAATGATTAATCTAGCATATTATCCTATATAGCTCTATAGTAAGTAATATTATAACAAGGTTCTTGGAATGTCTATATAATGAGTGCAGCTAGATGGCACACTGGATTCAGGAAGACCTGAGTTCAAATGTGAAATCAGATACTTGACACTTACTAGCTGTGTGATCCTGGGAAAGTCACTTCACCCCAATGCCTTACCAAAAAAAAAAAAGAGTCAAGTCAGGCCAGGAAGCAGTTATTAAGTGCTTACTATGTGCTAGGCTCTGGCTAAGCTCTGGGGATACAAGAGCAAACAAACACGAAAAAAAGAAACATTTCCTACCCTCAAGGAGCTTATATTCTAACAAGAGCAGACAACATATAAAAGGGAACAATATACTGGAATGGAGGGGATGAAGGAAGGGTCCAGAGAGAGTATCTGGAGTGGGGCACCATGGGGCTAGCCAGAATCACAAAATGAGGACTCTGAAAAATAATTCACCAATGAGAGAAAGAGGCCCCAGGAACTGAGAAAGAAGGCAGCGGAGTCATTTGTGATGGTAAAGTCTAGAGAATTAAACTGAATGTTCAGGCATTGTGTATATGTAAGTATGCATATTATTTGTGAATTTATTACCTGAAAAGTCTTCCAAAGAGTATAGTTAATAATAACTCACACCTTTTTTGCTTCTCAAGAAGGTTTCATATAGCTTAGGGGCAACTTCAGTGGATCACAAAATGAGTAGTTAGAATGAACTCAGTTTGAATATTGCCCTAATCTATAGACCTTTTCAGGTTTCTTAAGGTCTTGTACCCAGTTTCTTCATCTGTAAAATGGCAATAATAATAGCACCTATTGCAGGGTTGGTGTGAAAATGCACTGAGATATAATTAGTGGGCTTTGCAAAACAAAATACTTTAGAAATGAGATCTTTTGTCAATATTATTAACAACATCACTATTATATCTGTTCTTTCAGTTGATACAATTACACTGATGTTAGAGGCATTTTCCCCGGGTGACAGGGAAACCAAGTTAAGGAAAAATTTAATGATTTGTCCAAAATCATATAAGTTATTAGTGGTGGGTCCAACACTAGAACCTGGGTCTAGATGTAGGAAAATGTAAACTCCTTGAGGGCAGACACTGCTCTGAACTTACATCCATATTTTCAGCAGCAGGCATAGAGTATAAGTAAAAGTTGCTTAATAAATGCTTACTGATCCATCCATAGGTGATGTTGCTACTCATTGTGAGCAAATTAATTCAAGATCCATCAATATTTATTTATTCCATGTATGCAATGTGTTAGGCCTTGTAGGGGAACACAAAGAAAACAGGCCGCATGGTATGGGGGATAGAGAGTCAAGATGATGTTTGTCATCCCTCCCCTCGCACATGTTGACTGTGTGACCCTGGCCAAGTAAGTCATTTAGCTTCTGCATGCCAAGGCAGCTCTTTAGGGCCATAAGTTATAGAGCAGGAGCTAACCTGCTTTGGCAGAGGGAACTTCCTCAGCTGGGAGTGCCCCATGCTGATAGAGGCACAGGTCTTATAAAAATAAACCACACAAGTGCCTACCTCACAGAATCCTTGAGAGGGTCTCACAAGATAATACCTGAAAATCTCTTTGCTGAACCTGAAGTGCCAACTATAATTCTTATCATTATATATATATCTGTACCCCAACTAGATTGGAAGCCGCTTGTTGTCAAGCATTACAATTTACAATTTCTCTTTTTCACATTTTCTATTTCTTCCTTCCTTCCTTCTTTCCTTCCTTCCTTCCTTCCTTCCTTCCTTCCTTCCTTCCTTCCTTCCTTCTCCTTCCTTCCTTCCTTCCTTCCTTCTTTCCTTCCTTCCTTCCTTCCTTCCTTCCTTCCTTCCTTCCTTCCTTCCTTCCTTCCTTCCTTCCTTCCTTTCCTTCTTTCTCTCTCTCTCTCTCTCTCTCTCTCTCTCTCTTTCCTTTCTTTCTTTCTTTCTTTCTTTCTCTTTCTTTCTTTCTTTCTTTCTTTCTTTCTTTCTTTCTCTCTCTCTCCTTCTCTCTTCTCTCCTCTCCTTCTCTCCTTTTCTCTCTCTCTTTCTCTCTTTCTTTCTTTCTTTCTTTCTTTCTTTCTTTTCTTTCTTTCTCTTTCTTTCTTTTCTTTTTTTCCTCCATAATTTTGCTGGTATGGAGAGCTCCCTGTATGTAACTTCTTCTGAAAACTCCCCTGAAAATTATAGTTAGAGATGAGTGGGAGGTTTGGTGACTTGCCCAGGGTCACATAGCCATTGTGTGTAAGATGTGGGATTTGGACCCAGGTCTTCCTGACTCCCAGGAAGACTCAATCTACTCCACCATGCTGCATCTCAAAAAGCATAATATAGACATTCTTGTTCTCATTGTACATGTGGGGAAACTGAGGTCCAGAGAAGTTAAAAAAATTGCTTGAAGTGATATAGTTAGCCAAGAAGTGTGAAAGGCCACTTGTGAAGGATGGCCTTCCTATGTCCTTGGATTCACTCTAGGCATCACAGCTCACTTACCGTCCAGGAGAAGCTCATGTATATGATAGGCACACTTAATAAATGCTTGCTTGTTGACTGGGGCAGCCTAGATCTTTCATGTCCCTTTCCAAGCCTATGTAACCCCCATTTTGAGTACAGTAACTAAAGACCTCTTTTCCCTCCAGGCAAATTGAAAGAATAGGTCATTTAGCTGCTTTCTTGGTATCAGTTTTGACATTCAGCCCAGGAGACTTCTCTAAAAGTATACTTTCATGTTGCAATATGAATAAGATTCTCAGGACCTTAGGTTTAGAAATGGGAAAGACCTCCATTCACTCACCCATTGGCACAGATGATGAAACTGAGGCCCAGAATCTTGTCCAAGGTAATACAGACAACTGAGTGACATATGAGATAGAGTGTTGGACTTGGAGTCAAGAAAACCTGGTGAATCCTGCCTCAGACACTTCCTGGTTGCGTGGCTCTGGGCAAGTTGCATAACCTCTGTTAGCTTTAATTTCCTCTTCTGGAAAATGAAGAAGTTGGACTCAGTGGCTTCTAAGGTCTATGATCTATGATCATATGGTAAGTAGAAGTGACAGAGATAGGACTCAAACACAGGTCATCTCACTCCAGACTCAGATCTTCTTCCACTTTAGCAGGGCTTCATGAGGGTATATGGAAGCCATACACAGACAGGTGATGTAGTGGATAAATTGCTGCACCTGGAGAGTTTAAATTAAGTCTCAGATATTAGCTGTTCAAGTTTGAGCAAGTCATTTGGTCTCTGCCTGCCTCAATTTTCTCATCTTTAAATGGGGATAACCATGTTAATAACTACCTCGTGTGGTTGTTGTAAGGATAAAATGAGATGTTATCTGTAAAATGCTTTGCAAAGTTTAAAGTACAATATAAATGTTAGCTATGGTAATGCTGCTGATCTCTAAAGTAGAGGCACAACACAAAACAGCTTGTTCAAGTATTCTTTTCATGGTTAATTTAACAAAAAAAAAACCCACTGGGAATATTTTCCCAATTGTTTCTGAGAAATTAATGAAAACTAGAAGATTGAACTTATGTGGGGCCCAGGAAAGAGGACAAAACTTGATTAAATATAAAATGTGATGATTGAAAAAAAAAAGTATTTCATTGCACAGGCAATTGTGGTTGAAAAAAATTAATCTGGTAAGAGTCATGGAGAATGTTTCAAGCATTTCTTTTTTTTCCCCCCTACAGGCTTCAAATAGAACAAAAATTAGATTTCAAGGAAGTTTTCAAGGCTCTGAATATAACGGAGATATTTAGCGGTGGCTGTGACCTTTCAGGAATAGCAGGTAGTGTGATGGATGATTGTGATATTATTCCAGATATTTTAAAGTATGTTTTCAGTTTTTTTCTTCCCTCAGTTATGCCCCTTAACCATTTGATTTTCAAACTTAAAACAATACACCCCATAAAACACAAGAACGAGCTGCATAAATGTCACTTCTGTACATTCACACAGCCAATAAACTCTCAGGATGTTTTCTGTTTAAATAATTCCCTTCATGGAGCTCACAAAACACTTTGGAACTGTTAGTTAAGCCAGATAACTGCAATTTTTGGTGGATTTATGGCGTTAAAATGCAACCATGAGTTCTTATTTCAGACGCTTTCATTTCTAGACCTCTAAAATGGGAATAATAACTTCACAGCCCTTCTCTAACAAAAACTCATAAAAACTCATAAACCATTTTGCAAATGCTAATGTAGGAGTATTAAAGTACTTGAAACAGTCATCTGCAAGCTGCCACTGTTCTCTGACCTAGAATACAGAGAGGGCCCCATCTAAGACTCCAGAACATTTTACTGTCAGACCACTATGGGCCAACTATGGGTAGGGCACTGGGCATGGCATGGGAAGATACAGAGGCAAGTAAGGCATAGTCCCCAACCTCAAGGATTTTATACTGGCCTGTATTCAGTAAACCTGTACAAGACAAAGATTTTCCAGTGAAAATTTATAGCACAAAGCAGGTCACTGAATGTCTCTGCTGAGATTCATCATCGTTTGTTGACATAGAAATAGAACATAGCACCTAGAAGGCCTGTTTCTCCTTTGGGTGAGTGAGTGTAAAACAACGTGGCACATTGGTGCCATTGAGCTGCAGATCCAAAGGTCAATCGCTGGGATAGCTAATGCACAATCTGTGGCCCACACGTGGCTTTTCAGAAGTTCAGGATGCATCCTTACAACATGAAGGGAAAATCAAAATTGCCCTTACAGCTGTATTGTTGTTATTTTGATGAACTGCAAAGGCAGCAAATACTTATTATTGACTGATACAGCATGTTTTCTGAAAGATCCAACATGGTAATCTGCCATAGACATACCTAAGGGTCCTCTAGCCAGTATGATCTATTTAGCATAATATAATAATTACATATGCATTATAGGATTAGGGCTGGGAAGGCCCTTAGAGATAACAGCTGGATGTGGAATGGATGGGGCACTGGACTTGGAATCAGAAAGATCTGAACTTAAATCCCGCCTCAGGCTGGTAGTGCAGTTATCCCTCTTACATCGTGACTTTCCCCACTGTGGTTTTGATAGAGTGTGGGTTGGCATAAAAAAGATTAAATGCTAATTTTTTTGGAGTTTTGCAAAAGCTGCACAGCATAGGTATAGGCCAGCACATGACACAGAAAAAGTTTAGAAACTCAGAAATACATAAAATAAATGCATAGTATCATATAACATCAACATATTTCATTTTTAATACCACAATAATTCAGATTTCCTCTCTGGTATGAAGTGAGGGCCAAAAAATTTTACACAGATTTTCCAGAATGCAGGGGTGCCATGCCCCTAATCTCCTCAGTGTGGAAGGGATAGTTGTATAATCTTGGGCAAACCATTTAATCTCCATCAACCTCAGTTTCCTCATCTGTAAAATGGGGATAATAATATCCCTATTTTACCATGAGGTAATAACATCTTCTTCATAGGGTTGTTGTGAGGATCAAATGAGTAAACATATATGTAAATGCTTCATGTATCTTAAAACACTCTATAAGTTAATTATGATTGTTATTAGCTTGGGATCATCTAAGCCAATCCTCTCATTTTGAAGTCCAGAGAGATTAGGCATCTTATAAATAGGAAACAGCAAAGCAAAGATTCAAACCCAGGTTCTTTGACAATAAATACAGCACATTTCCCCCTATGTCACAGAACACTTAAGGGAAAATTGCTGTAGCTTTGTCATGAGGCTGGTGAATTCTGACTCATACCACTGGTCAGGGCTAGCCACTCTTAGTCTACAGAATGTAACATTCCACCTGAGATAAGAATTTGACACACTTCCCCTGGGCCTCTCAGATTTTACTTCTGCAATGGTCTCATCAGTGTTAAGCATTTGAAGTAATGTGGTTGGTGAGACTTGGATTTAAAAGCTCTCTGTGCCTCAGTTTCCTCATCTGTATAGAGGGGGATAATACTTGTAGCACCTACCTCCTAGGATAGCAGAACTGCACAATCATAGTGTCTATCTATGCTTGCTTTATAGGTTATCTAAAAATATGATAAATACACCTTACATTTCTTCATGCCAGTCACTGATAACAGAAAGGACAGGGTCCTGTGCTACTCTTCTATAGACCTCTTTTCAAATTAACAGAAGATCATTAATCAACACTCACTCTTCTGCGAACCTATCTGCAAGTTTTATTAATTACCCACCATTTTATTCTTCCACCAATAAGTATATTATGGGAGATTTTGTCAAGTCTGCTGAAATTAAAGCGTACTCACTCATTCAAGGCATGTCTTACAAATCTAGCAGTTCCATTATGTTAAAAATAATAATAATTAGTTTGATGTGAGTGACTCTGTGCTAACTTTAGGGATCTCCTTTTTCTTTTCAAAATGCTTGCTATTTACTAATCCTTTAGAATTTTTCTGTAAGACCAGTATAAAAATCATTGGTCTGGAATTTCCCAAATTCATCTTTTTCCTTCTTGGTACATAGCTTAATTTTTATCACTAAAGAGTTGCATTATGGATAGTTACAAAAAGAAAAAAAAGATAAAGCATGGGGAAGTATACTAATCTCTTCTTTCATATTAGTAGAATACAGACCTCTAGAAAGAAATAGTGTGTACCTAACCGTGGTTGGGAAGAGTCTGCATGGCAGGGGATTTGTAGATCTAAAAAAAACCCACCAACTTTCACTGAAATATTAAGGAGAAAGTGGAGGAATGGGGAAGGATGCAAAATGGGAAATATTCTTTGTCTGTTCTCACAGCAATATTACTTTATTTCTCTCTTATTATCTTCATACAAACCCTCTCCCCTATACTTCTATTCTTCTACTTTGGAGTTCCTATACAAGGGCATCCTTTCTTTGTATGAAGTGCTATTTCCCCTATCTCTCGATTTTATCTGATTCCTTTTAACCAACCAAGATAACACCCCTTCAATTTTCTAGCATCTCTCCCCATGACTTCTTACATATCACCAACAGAGGTCCTCGAATGACATTAACATATTCTATTACTATGCTGGGAGGTAGGTTTTTTAGGCCCAGAGACTTGAACACATTTAAAGTAGCTTGGTAATCTCTCACCATATTTTTCCCTGCCGTTGCCTTTCATTTCTTCTTCATGTTGCTTGTTAGACTGAAGACCGTTTAATCTGGAAGAGAGAGAAGCAAAACAGAAATTAAGTAGTCTGTGCTCTCTCTCTCTCTCTCTCTCAACATTACCTCATTGTTTCAAACAATGGGCCTATCTCTTCCTTGATTCTTTCAAACTGAGGAGAGGTTCAGAAGGTATCTATCCCATTAGAATACAAGCTCCCAGAGAGTAGACATTGTTTCATTATTTATGCTTATAACTTCAGTGCTTGACACATAGTAGGCACTTGCAGATTGTGAATTTTTTGATGATAAATTTTAGTGGATTCTGAAATGTATCCCTCTTGATCTCCCCCTCCCCCTCTCCTCCTCCTCCTCTTCTTCTTCATTTTTTCCTCATCCTTGATTATGTGATCCTCTTCCCACTTTTTGTCCATCTGCTTTTTTTAAAATTTGAAGTCATCAGAGAGCCATCTGTGTAGCTCCATTGTTTTCTCCATTGTTAAATTTATTTTGTCACTGATATGAACCTCAACTGTAAAGATAGAATTGCAATAAAAAAACTCCCATCCCCTTATGGTATTACCTTTTATTGTCTCAGGCTATGAAATCATGTCATCTTTTCTGGTAATTTTTTTTTTTGAAATTTCATTTCCTAAAGCTTAAAGTACATTTCTGATTAATCCTAGTGCGTGATTTTCTTTCCATTACAAACTGAAAGTTAATTTGATTACTTTTTTCCAAGATTCCTGTTATTGTCTTTTTGTGTGTGTGTGTGTGTGTGAGGCAATCGGGGTTAAGGGACTTGCCCAGGGTCACACAGCTAGGAAGTGTCAAGTATCTGAGGTCGGATTTGAACTCAGGTCCTCCTGACTTGAGGGCCAGTGTTCTATCCAGGGCACCATGTAGCTGTCCCTGTTATTGCCTTTTCAACCATCATATTTAATTATTCGCTAGAATTTAGTCCAGATTATTTCTCCTCATCCCTTCCTCTACTTTCTGAGAGATTTTCAGGTTACCTAAAGAGTTTCTCAGATGCCCTACGTTTTGCCAAATTATACTTATAGTTCTAGTAGACTTTGGATTTAAACCTAATTGTCCAGCATTGACTTTATACTTTGTCTCTGAACAAAATCTGTATTTGTAAAGCATAATCCACTGCCTTTGTCTTGTCCAGTAGTCTGTTGTATTTTCTCCCAATAACATTGCTTTGTTTTTCCTTTTATCCTCCTCCAAATACTCTCCACTGCGCTTTCATTCTTAAGTGGTAGTGCTATTCTCCCTCCCTTTCCAAATTATGATTCTTTTTGAACACATTCTGCTGCTGCCATCATCCAATCAAACTACAATACCACCAAGTCTCAATGATACCTATTTGATTGTATTTTTTGTGTGAAAATTTAAAGTCCATCTCATTTTTTATATTCTATGTATTGATATACCTTGAATCTTCAGTATTATTCCTGCCTGTTATTTTCTATTTTCATTTGAGAATTACTTAGAGCTATTTATCTCTTTTATATGTATATTTAATAGTACCTGCTTCATAATATGTAATTTTGCAGTTTTTCTGGGCTTTCTCTCTCTCTTGCCCTCGAAATTCCACTGACAGCCTTCTTGACTAGATTAGTAAGTAACCTGACATATGTGAATTACACTCTACCTCTTCATAAAAACCTCATCATTTTGTTATTATAGAAGAGATTAATAAGCTTTCC